CTGAGATTGGAGGAAAACCAGGAGAATGTCTTGGAAACCATGTTAGAACAGTATGTTTAATTGTGGATTATAGAACCAGAGAGCTTCAGACTAAGTCATTTAACAAATAATTTAGTGATTGTTGTATTTTGCCTAAGAGTTCTTTTTATTTCAAATGCTGAACTTGTAGAGGCAAAAGTGTTTAATAATCTTGGGGATTCAATTACAAGTTACGTATTTTTTAATGGGGCTAGAATGTGAAGGTGCTGAAGTCACTGCTTGCTGTGTAATATTCTAGATATTTGTTGATGTAGTTCTATACTTAAGTATGGACCTAACTGGTGTGTTACAAAATGAGGGAAAAACAAATGTAATAGGTTTTGTTCAGTTTATAATCTGGTCAAGGATATAGGAAGACATAATAAGTGTATCAAACATGAATCTTAGTCCGAAAACTCAGATGGAAAGAAGGTACCACATTTGCTTTCTTTAAATTAACTTGATTTGAATACTACTTCTTTGGCAAGAAATTCAACCTCAGTCATCCTTGGGGCTCCCTCTGCTCATGTTCTTGGAAGGCCTGGTGTCATATGGTTCAGATTTTGCCTGCATTGGTTATAGTATTGTCTTCCATTGTCCTCCACAAGGTTCCATCAGGTTCTGTGGCTCTGCCACCAACTGTGGGCCCTAGTGCCTGTGACTTGACACCTAGTTTATATCTAGCAGACACTTTTTACTGAGGTCTTGCTGCCATGGAGTTGATTCCATCCTCTCTAGAATTTCTTCTGAGATTGCTCACAAGGTCTACTCCTTTCTTTCATCGAGTCATTCAACATGGTCTCTTCTTGGGTTTTACTAAACACAAGGTGCTGCTCTACCTTCCGTGCCACTGGAATCTCTGAACAAAGGGTTTTGAAAGCCTGGCTGTTTGACTGGAAATCGAAGGGAGGGATGGAAATAGAAGGGTGTGAGTGACATAGGAAAAACATGAATTAGTGTTCCAAAAACTAGCCCCAAGAGGAAATATAAAGTGCCAAATGTCAATAAGTATGGTTGCTTGGAGTGTGCTTGGAGTGATTTGAAAACTTCATGAAGATGAGACTTGAACTGAGCCTTAAAGAATGGGTAGAATTCATTATAAATGATGGTGTCTGTTGTGCTTCTGTATCTAAGGCAGTACCTTCATGTGTATATTGTTGGGTGGTGGTGACACATGCATGAGTCAGGGGCGTGTGTGGCATGTTTGGGAGTGAGTGTGTGATGTGTGTGTTTGTTACAGGAAGGAGATGAGAGTTTCTACTGTTGCAGAAGAGCCTCAGAAAGAGAATTGTGGAACAATCAGCTGGATGGATTTAGAAAGGGAAGATGCTTACAAGGCTTTGATAGTAGTTCTGACCTGAACTGGAAAAGGATTGATGGCAGTGGGAATGAGAAGACAGTAATTGGGTAGAAACCGCTAGAAAGAATCTGTGGGGAGAAGGCAGAATTTAAGGTGATTCTGAGTTCTCTGCTGGGTGCAGAGGTATTAATAGTGTCATTAATGGAAACTGGAAAAGTCAAGGTAGAAGTTTGTTGTGAGAAGAAGATAAGGAGTTAAATAGATGATTTGATAACCTGTTGGAGCCCTGAAATGAGGTTAGATTTGTAGATAAAGGGTTTACCATATCATTGGTCTTCACGATCCTGCTCTAGACTGGTTGTTTTTCCTGTTGACTATTGTGAAGAAGACAGTGATGAAAGAATAACTGATGAGAAAAGAAGAGATGAGTACGTGCGATATTTTGGCTTAAGTATTTAAAACTTTTTTATTTACAGAAATTTTATAATTCAAAATTACTTTGTAACATTTTAAAAGCCTGAAAATTTAGCATGCTTGGAAAATCCTTTTTAGTTTTAGCTTTCGTCTTTATATCCCTAAGACGTTCTCTGAGCATTTGTAAATCTCCACAGGTTTATATTAATAATCTCCACAGGTTTATATTAATAAGCTAATATTTATATTAATAAGTATAAATTTGTATTAATAAAGCTAATAAAAATCTTTAAGGCTGCTTTTTGTTGTTGTTTGAGACGGAGTCTTGCTTTGCCGCCCAGGCTGGAGTGCAGTGGTGCAATCTCTGCTCACTACAACCTACGTAGACCTCCCAGATTCAAGCAATTTTCCTGCCTCAGCCTCCTGAGTAGCTGAGTAGTATAACTTCTTATCATTTGAAACTACTGGCAGTTGAGCTTATCTCAGTTTGTTTCTTGAGTTTGCACTTGAAGGGAATTCTTTCTTTCTTTCTTTCTTTTTTTTTTTTGAGATGGAGTTTTGCTCTTGTTGCCCAGGCTGGAGTGCCGTGCCACAATCTCGGCTCACTGCACCCTCCGCCTCCTGGGTTCAAGCGATTCTCTTGCCTCAGCCTCCCGAGTAACTGGGATTATAGGCACCCACCACCATGCCCAGCAATTTTTGTGTTTTTGGTAAGATGAGGTTTCACCATGTTGGCCAGGCTGGTCTTGAACTCCTGACCTCAAGTGATCCACCCACCTCAGCCTCCCAAAGTGCTGGGATTACAGGCGTGAGCCATTGCGCCCAGCCGAGAATTATTTCACTTCTTCAGTTCTTCATATTGTTTAGTAGATGGTTGGGGAAATTTGTACTGTAGCTACAATTTTGAGGAATTGACTTCAGTATAAATACAATTCTTATACAGTGTTTAGTATTGTTTCACAAATATTAAACATGGCAGTATAAAAAATGTTCAATTACGTAAGTCCCTTTCCACCGCCTGCTATTAGTACATACACCATAATACTTGTGCACTCTTATTATTATCTGAATTGGAAAGTATATAATTAAAAACAGTTACGAATTTAGTACTTGTAAATTTAGCACTAGTAAATGGTTGATATATTTAAGAGACATTATTCATTCTACAGGCAGAGCTTGATGCACAAATGGATTCCTGGTCTCCTTGGTCCACAGGATGGAAACTGTTGGTATTGCGTTTGAACCAAGGAATATTTGTCTTAAGAGTAGCAGTTTTGTCTAGTTCTCCTTAATGAAGCCCAGATTATGTAGATTTTATTGTGGTTTTATTTTACCAATTAATTGAAATTTGAGTCCTTGGATAGAATTTGCAAATCTGCTTTGCATGCAGAATTAAACTTGTAAACGAAATTTACTTGGGTGTATGAATCTATTTAATACTTAAAGTGATATTTAGTAAGTTTTATTTCAAGGTAGAGTATTAGTTTTAGAGCTGGCTACTTTGGAAATAATTTTATGTACTTTTTGGAATGTTTTGACATCTGGAAAAAGTATCCTCTGTTAATTTCTTCATAGTACTGCAAAAAAAAAAAGACACACACACACACACACACACAGAGTTCAGTTGATGTTATCCTTACTCATTAGTTCTGTTTACTAATTACCACAGGTAGAAATAGCTGTCTCAGATAATCTTCAGTGAATTTTTTTTCTTTTTCTTTTGTGTTTTTGTTTTTTTGAGACAAGGTCTCACTCTGAGTACAATGGTATGATCATGGCTCACTGCAGCCTTAACCGCCCTGGGCTGAAGCGATCCTCCTGCTTCAGCTTCCTGAGTAGCTGGGACTACAGGCATGTGCCACCACCCTTGGCTAATTTTTGTATTTTTTTGAAGAGATGGGGTTTTGCCATGTTGCCCAGGCTGGTGTCAAACTCTTGGATTCAAGCAATCCAGCTACCTAGGCCTCCTGTGCTGGGATTATAGGTGTGAGTGCCCAGCCACTCTTCAATGAATTTTACCTTGCAGTTGCTAAACAACATTCCTGCAATGTTTCAAGTTCCCTTAGAGTGAAGACTATACATCATTACATTTTTTTCCTTTGTTTTTCCTTGAGACAGTCTTGCTCTGTCATGGCAGGCTGAAGCACAGTAGCACAATCATAATTCACTGTGGTCTTGAACTCCTATGCTCAAATGAGCCTCCTTGGCCTCCTGAGTAGCCGGGACTATAGGCACATCTCTTAAAACTCTTGAGCTTGGTTTTGGTATTGCTCAGTTACCTGGATTTTCAGAGGTTGGTGGGCTAATTAGGCAGCTATCTGTCCATTATTTTACCAGGCATTTATGACAGTGATTATTTTTTATGGCAATTTTTTGTTTGTTTTTTAAATCAGCCTAGACATTTAAATATATTATGCCAGTATATTAGTTACATGAAGATTAGCTAAGATAACGTAAGGTTACGGGCTGTTTAGTTGGGCCTACAAACATAGTAAGACTTATCAAAACAAGTATGGATTTTGAATGTGAATATTTTAAAAGATACATTGAAATTACTTAGAGTAGCCCTGGATATATGTTCATTATGGATGGCGTTTATCTTGTTAATAAGTTTCTACATGCTCATTTTAATTTTCGGTAGCATGAGCAAGTAACTTATATTTCGTTCCTGAGAAACTAAAAGAATCTGCCTAAAGAGTATGAAAATTGCCATTAAATCTGTATTGTCTACTTTCTGGATGCTTATATGATTATAGTTCTCTGCTTTTCCACACATTTTTGGGCTGCTATCAGGTTGTAAGTAATCATTATACAAACTAAATTTAAAAATTTAAGCAAGATAATTTTATATTCCTTGGATCAGGGAAAAAAATGCAGTTGCTGAAGGTGGGTTCATAGCTAAATATAAGCAATTATTTTGCTTTTTCTACTTTTTTGGATTTTATCATCTTTTCCCTTTTAGTAATAGAAGTAATACAGGTAGGAATTAACTTAGCACTGCCAAATTAATGGTAATATTAGACCTTTGTACACAGCACAGGATTAAGGTTATATAGAAAAATGTCTCATCCGTGTTTAATTTGGCTGACCAGCTCAGTTGATTAGCCAGTTTTATTGTTCTGTTAAATTAAAATTCTAAATATAGTTGTCCATTGTTCAAATAAATGAGTAGGGTTAAAATAGAGAATTGATAAAAATAAAGCCTTAAAAAACCTTTTAGCTAAAGTAGCAGGCTTCAAGTGAAATTCAGTTTTGGTCTCCTTTACAGGAATAGCTATTCACAGTCAGACAGAACCACTTATCACGTTTTGCAGTATCTCCTGAGGAAGTCAGAATCTGAGCCAGCATGAAGACGGAATCTTGTCTTCGATCTGATTTGCAAACCGTACTTTTATTCTAATCATGTGCAAGGTGGAGGTTATAGCGTGGGAACTAAAATCTTAGTAAGTGTGGTTTTTATTTTAGCTATTAAATAGTGTATATTCTTATAGTGATTTTTTTTTCTTCTTAGCAGAGTTCACACTATAAATGGTGTATGGACTTGGCAGGCAGGAACATAATACAGTATACTTCAAAAGTGAAAGATTTAGGCCAGGCGCGGTGGTTCATGCCTGTAATCCTAGCACTTTGGGAGGTCGAGGTGGGTGGATCATGAGGTCAGGAGTTGAAGAGAAACCTGGCCAAGATGCTGAAACACCATCTCTACTAAAAATATAAAAATTAGCCGGGCATGGTGGCATGCGCCTGTACTCCCAGCTACTTGGGAGGCTGAGGCAGGAGAATCGCTTGAACCTGGGAGGTGGAGGTTGCAGTGAGCTTAGATTGCACCACTCCACTGCATTCCAGCCTGGGCAAAACATAGCAAGACTCCATCTCAAAAAAACAACAACAAAAAAGGAAAGATTTAACCCTCTAGGTTCAGGAAAAGTCCCTGAGAAAGAGCAAAGCTTCTGTGCTCTGCCTAGGATTTCTTTCTCTTTCCTGCTGAAAAATAGGTGTTGGGATGATACCGAGTTAATAAAGTATTTAAGAAAAGTGGCCAGTATCTAAATTCAAGCCATTAAAAAAAAATCATTAAATTTGTTATATAAGTTGCCTCATTTATGAATTAGTTGCCATTAAATTATGAAGTCTTTCTTCATTATAGTGTATTGTTAGCCCATTGTTGAATCCTAGGACTCTTTTAAGTAGTGTGAATATATTTTAAATATGAATTGAATTTTTTTTTTTTGTGGGGGGATGGAGCCTTGCTCTGTTGCCCAGACTAGAGTGCAGTGGTGCGATCTTGGCTCACTGCAACCTCTGCCTCCCGGGTTCAAGCAGTTCTCTGTCTCAGCCTCCCGAGTAGCTGGGATTACAGGCGCCCACCACCATGCATGGCTAATTTTTGTATTTTTATAGAGACGGGGTTTCACTATCTTGGCTGGGCTCGTCTTGAACTGCTGACCTCATGATCTACCCACTCAGCCTCCCAAAATGCTGGGATTACGGGCGTGAGCTGCGATCCCTGGCCATGAATTTGATTTTGAGTATATTTTAAATATTCAAAATTTAAAATATTTTAATTATGAACATTCACAATTACATTGGAATAATTATGCTACTAGTTATTTCAGTGACCTTCCACAGATTTAATTTTCCCCAGTACAGTCTTCTTCTTTTTGCTCCAAATAGAACTGGATTTTGAGGCTACAGAATATCAAGGAACTACCTATTTCATAATGTTACTTTGTTAATTGTAGCCATTACTTCTTAACATGTTTCTTTACTACCTGTGCTAATTAAGAACAGTGGATAATTAGCATTTTAAGCTGCTTTTCTCCCTTAGTGAGAATGATAAAATAGACGTTATTTGATCTTCTGAATTCATGAATCATAATCTGTGTTCATAATTTGAGAATGGTTATGTGTTTAAGCTATTATTTAGTTTGTGTTGTTTCCTCTGCCTTTGTCTCTTTAAACTATTGGTTACTTTTCTAAATTGATGTGATGGCCTCCCTGAAATTAAACATTTCTATTAGTGGCTTCCCTTTAATCTCATCCTTCTTAGATCAAATCTCCTTATATTTCCTGCCTATCTCTTTTTGCATTCCAAAGTTCAATTTTATTAAATCCCAAGGTCCAAGATTTTTTCTTTTGAGAATTTATCTCCAGTGTTTCTATGGAAATCAAAAAAGAAAATTAGGATAATTCAATGTCAAAATGTTACATGCATCTTTTGAGAAATTTATATTTGTAGGTTGAAGGGCATGCTTTTTGGGGAGCATATTTTTGGAGGTGGAATGTAGTTATTTTAATAACCATGTCCTATATTATTTATAGCTTCCTGCCTGACACAGCTCACTTCAAGAAGTGCACAATGTCAGAACGTGGAATTAAATGGGCTTGTGAATATTGTACGTATGAAAACTGGCCATCTGCAATCAAGTGTACTATGTGTCGTGCCCAAAGACCTAGTGGAACAATTATTACAGAAGATCCATTTAAAAGTGGTTCAAGTGATGTTGGTAGAGATTGGGATCCTTCCAGCACCGAAGGAGGAAGTAGTCCTTTGATATGTCCAGACTCTAGTGCAAGACCAAGGGTTAAATCTTCGTATAGCATGGAAAATGCAAATAAGTGGTCATGCCACATGTGTACATATTTGAACTGGCCAAGAGCAATCAGATGTACCCAGTGCTTATCCCAACGTAGGACCAAGAGTCCTACAGAATCTCCTCAGTCCTCAGGATCTGGCTCAAGACCAGTTGCTTTTTCTGTTGATCCTTGTGAGGAATACAATGATAGAAATAAATTGAACACTAGGACACAGCACTGGACTTGCTCTGTTTGCACATACGAAAACTGGGCCAAGGCTAAAAGATGTGTTGTTTGTGATCACCCCAGACCTAATAACATTGAAGCAATAGAATTGGCAGAGACTGAAGAGGCTTCTTCAATAATAAATGAGCAAGACAGAGCTCGATGGAGGGGAAGTTGCAGTAGTGGTAATAGCCAGAGGAGATCACCTCCTGCTACGAAGCGAGACTCTGAAGTGAAAATGGATTTTCAGAGGATTGAATTGGCTGGTGCTGTGGGCAGCAAGGAGGAACTTGAAGTAGACTTTAAAAAACTAAAGCAAATTAAAAACAGGATGAAAAAGACTGATTGGCTCTTCCTCAATGCTTGTGTGGGTAAGTTTCTGTGTTCTGCATTTTTTGAATGGGATGGGAAAAGGTAGTAAAAATGATACGAAAACAGCTGGGTGTGCTGACACATGCTTGTATTTGTAGTCTTAGCCACTTGCTTGAGACCATGAGTTTGAGGCTGTAGTATGCCATGATCGGTCTGTGAATAGTACCTGCACTCTAGCTTGGGCAACATAGTGAGACTGTCTCCATGCCCACAAAAAATTGTGTGTGTGTGTGTGTATGTATGTATGTGTGTGTATATATATATATGTATGTGTGCACAAAGTCACCAACATTTAATTCATTCAGCATGATAGCTGTACTTTCAAGTATACATACATAAAAATTTGTGTATCTGTGATCTTGTCATAACTTTGTACTAAATTGCCCACAATTAATTGTGTTCATGTCTCTCCATTACTGGAGGCAGGGGAAACTTTTAAGTTAAAGCAAAGGTTTTACACATCAATGGTAAAATATATACCTGGACTTTAAAACTGCTACTCTGTTTATTGTAACAAGATGTAACTGAGGAACACCAGCTGCTGTTTCCAAGTATTTGTAAACAGTGTGAGCATCTTGTGATGATAGAAGCTTTAGTCAGATGTTAAAAATACCACAAAAATGTGTGACTCCAAGGAGTTGAACAAACATATTGACCTTGAAAATACTGGTGTTAATTTAACATGAATGTCATGTAGTAAATATTTGCAAACTTTATGGAACTGATTACATGTAGCCAGCTGATTCCATACTTCAAGTTATGGTTCGTATGTAATACTGTCAAAGGACAGAGACATAGGAGAGCAGAGTTTTTTTTTCAGTTCTTGACCTTGTGAGTTAAGTGTGATGTAATTCACAAAGGCAGTGACTTGAGTCTTCAGTATTTTTTTGAGTAGATTAGATGTTTGATTTTATTAAATTATTTGGATGGGCTGCTTACTTTGACGTTCAGTCTGATTACTAAGTTTAAACTTTGTGTGGAACAATAGCTAAGCCTTAACTATACCTTAGCTGTATGTTTTCCCTCAGTGCCAATTTCTTTTTTTTTAATCCCTCTGGGTCCAGCCCAAGCATATGAAAGTTTTAGGTGTATGAACCTGTGAGTCCTAAGAATTGATATCCAAGAAATTGTGAGTTTTAAAATTAATTTTTATGTATATTATATATATCATTCCCCACCCCCCCAAAGATGGGATCTCAGTCTGTCACCCAGGCTAGAGGGCAGTGATGCAGTCATGGCTCACTGCAGCCTCAACCTCCTGGGTTCGAGTGATCTGCCACCTCAGCCTCCCCAGTAGCTGGGACTCCCTATTAGCATGTACCACTATGCCCTGCTATTGTTTTTAATTATTATTTGTAAAGATGGCGGTCTCCCTATGTTGCCCAGGCTGGTCTTGAACTCTTGGGCTCAAGCGATCCTCCCACCTCAGTCTCCTAAAGTGTTGGGATTATAGGCATAATTTGCTGTGCCCAGCTGAAATCCTGAGTTTTCAATTTTAGCTTTGTTCTGGCAAAAAAGAATATTCCAGCAGATGAATCCTTCTGACCTCCAGATGTAGTAGGCACTTAGCAGCTCTTAGTTCTAGTTTCCTCCCATCCTGAGGATGAGGGATGAAAACACACCGAGCCATCTTCTGTCTGTGTTGTTCCATTTTATTCCACTAATTTTTCTGCTCCAAATTGAGGGCAACATATAGTATGATTGTCAGTTAAAAAAATTTAAATAGGAGATACAAAAGGGTTTTATTATTAGTTTCCTTACTGAGATCAAACTGATTTAACATAAAAATTCACCGTTTTGCAAGTGAACAACTCATTTGGCATTTAATGCATTCACATTGTGTAACCACTACCTCTGTGTTGTTCCAAAACATATTCATCATCCCAAAAGGTAACTGTATGCCCATTAAGCGGTTGCTGGTCCCTACCCCTACCCGTTAACCCTTGATAACTGCCAGTCTGCTTTTGGTGTCTGTGGATTTACCTATTCTGGATATTCATATAAATGGAATCTTTACATATCTATGAGCTTTTGTGTTGGGTGTGATTGTCTTTTAATTGCTTGTATGCCTTTGGAACACTCTTAAAATCTTTTTTTTTTTTTGCAGGGAGTAGTGTACTATGACTACTTGGACTACAAGATAGTGTTATAGTACATGTAGGTTTATAGATGAAAATGAACTAGACTTCATTGTGACGGTTTTTAACCTCACAGTGAAGGTCAATAAACCGCACTAAAGGTCATAGAATCCTTTAGGGATCAGGGCTTCACTTCAACCCCAGGTTGCTTCAAGTCGGTGGATCTCAGGATAAGAACACCTGATTTGAAATACTTTCTCTCCTTGAAACATACAAGTTAGATGAATCAACATGTTTGTCTTTATGACATTATTTCTTCTTGATCCTGCCTTTTTCTACATATTCTTACTTCTTTAGATGACTAGCCATCCTTGTACCTCTTTGCATTTTATTTTTTTGTGTCAGGGTTGCAAGGCTGGAGTGCAGTGGCACAGTCATGGCTCACTGCAGCCTTGACTTCCTAAGCTCAAATCATCCTCCCACCTCAGCGTCCTGAGTAGCTGGGACTATAGGCACATACCACCATACCTGGCTAAGTTTTGTATTTTTTTTGTAGAGATAGGATTTTACCTTGTTACCCAGGCTGATATCTTACTCCTGGGCTCAAGCGATCCACCCACCTCAGCCTCCCAGAGTGCCAGGATTACTGGGGTGAGCCACTGGGTCCCGCCCATCTCTTTGCATTTTAATCACTGACTTCAATTTAAAAGTGGAACAAGGCCAGGCACAGTGGCTCATTTCTGTTAATCCCAGCACTTTGGGAGATCGAGGCAGGTGGATCACCTGAGGTCGGGAGTTCGCGACCAGCTTGACCCAACATTAAGAAACCCGTCTCTACTGAAAATACAAAATAGCTGGGTGTGGTAGCACATGCCTGTAGTTCCAGCTAGCTGGGAGGCTGAGGCACAAGAATCTCTTGAACCTGGGAGGTGGAGGTTGCAGTGAGCCAAGATCGCACCATTGCACTCCAGCCTGGGCGACAAGAGTGAAACTCCGTCTTAAAAAAAAAAAAAAAAGTGGAACAAAAACTTCTACCAATAGGACCAGTATTGGATTTGACCTTGTTTTATTTACAAAACGATTTGTCATTAAGTTGCTGTTTCTACCTGCATAGTTTCTAGATTCTCAGGGCCAAGGGTTGATTGTATTTGGTTATTGGTAATGTGTACTGTGTCTTTCCTATCAGCAGATTTTTTTTACTGTTAACTGTACGATGTCATTCTGAACTGTTACACATAAGGTTATAATTATAGGCCTGTTTCTATGGGATAGCCATATTCTGATGTGTAAACATAACTGAAATATGTTAAATACTTTTTAAAAACTTGTTTACATTATGTTGGGTTAATTAAAAAAAAGGCTTGAGCAGTAAGACTAACAGAAGTTCATATGTACTCAAAACTAATCTTTACTTCCCTTTTCTGCCTGCCTTATGTTCCCCAGATTTCGTTAGATACAGTGTATTTTGGGTTGTTGATGTTAAGTGTTTTTTAAAAAATCCATCTCTACACTATATACACTGAGTATAAAATATGAGACTTTTCCATTTAAAGTTGGAAAAAAATGTCAACCTCAGGTCAGCTTTATAGCTGATAAACTAGGAATGAGGAAGATCCAGTTGTTGAGAGGGCAGATGTCAACTAAGGCATCAGCAGTATTGAGCAAACATATTGACATAGCCATTGGGTGTAAGTTTCACATAAGTCAAATTATCTTATGGTGAGAGGATGTTGGGGACAGCTGTGCCAAAACCCGACATCTGTAGTGGAACCTGAGGTTGAGAATCAGGGTGGTAAAGGTAGAGGTGTGAATGTAAATGTACAGTTGCCTCTGGAATGTCTGCAGTGGGTGCTAGATGTTTTTAGGGATATCAAGTTTTTAGGGCAGTCATGTCAGCACTCACCATAGACTGCTTTTCTCACTGGGTAGACAACAATGTATCTAGAGAATAGAGCAACACTACCTAATGCCCTGCTTTTATTCTGCTATTGTATTGAATCAGTTGCCTTATGAAATTGTACTTCAATTTGTGTACATAACTATGTCTTTTTTTTTTTTTTTTTTTTTTTTTTGAGACAGAGTCTTGCTCTGTCACCCAGGCTGGAGTGCAGTGGCCGGATCTCAGCTCACTGCAAGCTCCGCCTGCCGGGTTCACGCCATTCTCCTGCCTCAGCCTCCCGAGTAGCTGGGACTACAGGCGCCCGCCACAGCGCCCGGCTAGTTTGTTGTATTTTTTTAGTAGAGACGGGGTTTCACCATGTTAGCCAGGATGGTCTTGATCTCCTGACCTTGTGATCCGCCCGTCTCAGCCTCCCAAAGTGCTGGGATTACAGGCTTGAGCCACCGTGCCCGGCCCCAGCTATGTCCTTAAAAAGACACAGGGTTAGATAAGAATACCATATTAAATCTGTGCTATAACTTGTATTCCTGAACCCTAGACTCATATATCCAGCTGCCTATTCAGCATCTTTCCTGGAGTGTTTAATAACTCAAGCTCATTTCAAGTTCAGTGATGCTAAAACAGAACTGGTCTGTCTTTCAAATCTATTTTTTCCCAGGCTCTCATCATGGTTGATGGCAAATTTCTCATTCCATTGCTTGTGCCAAAAGCCTTGGCCCTCCTTGATTCTTCTTTCTCTTATGCCCCACTCCTATTTCTCAGAAGACCCATTGGCTCTACCTTCAAAATATATCTGGACTCTGACCACTTCTCACTCTTCTTGTCCCAACCATGATCCCCCCTTGCCTTTGCCCTCCTTACAGTCTGCTGTCGTCAAAGGAGCTAACTCTGCTCAGAACTCTCTAGTGATCACCTGTTTTACTTGGATTAAATAATAGCCAGAGTCCCTCAAAAAACTCTACAAGGCCATCTACATGCTCTGTATTGCACACTTCAGCTTCCTTCCATATACTTTTGACCC